CAGTGACATACAGCAGCTGTGGTGGAGGAGGCCAAGGCCTGGTGGCGATGAAGGAGGACGCCTGGCCCAGCGTCGGTGGAGCAGGAGGAGGAGGCCAGGCCCGGCGGCGGTGGAGGAGGAGGCGGGGCTCAGGCCCAATGTCGACTGTGGAGGATGAGGAGACCGGGGCTGGCGGTGAAGGAGGCTGACAGGCAAGAGGTGTGCAGGGGTGTGACCAGTCCACCTGAGACCCTGCAGAGCCCACCACAGAGAGCCTATGGTGGGCTCTTTAGGGTCACTCTCAGGTGGGCTGTGTGGGATCTCAGGTGGGCTACATGGGGTCTCAGATGGGCTCTGCAAGGTGTCAGGCGGGCTGTATGGGGGTCTATGGTATGTGCGGGGTCCCAAGTGGGCTCTGCAGGGTGTTAGGTGGGCTGTGCAGGGTCTATGGTATGTGCGGGGTCTCAGGTGGGCTCTGCAGAATCATAGACATCCACTAGAGGGAGAATCAATTTATTTGTACTAGTGATGTAAATATGGAACAGCAAACATGTAAAATGTAAAAAGTCACATCCAAGGTAGAGGTCACTACACTGAACTTTGCATAGCCGTCACACAAAAATCACACAATCGTAGTCTCAGTTTAATTGGCAACACTTATGATGATCCACTGCAGCTGTTGCAGAGCTCTGTAGCCACCATTTGTTGTGTATACATAACCCCATGGCAATAAATGGCGTATAAATTCCCTGAAATGGCCAACAGGGAACAGGCAAAGAGTCACTGCCATTTCTGCCCAGAGTACGGAGATATATGCTGGGGCAGTGACATCTGTAAGAGAAGTCAGGGGTCTCCGCCACATAGGTGGACATCACTGAGCCTTTAAGTAACTCAATATATGAAAACAAAGGAATACGACTGATACCCGCCACACAGCATTTGTCACTGTGCACAGCAGTACGTCACTCATCTCCCAGCCACTCACCATCAAAGCTGGACAACGTCTGGGGTGAAGGCAAGAGGATCAGTGACCCCAACAAGCTGGCAGAGTGCGAGGAGGCCCATGGTCAAGGCTGCTTGCGCCCGAGGCTGCCTAGTTTGCCTAGTGGCAGCACCGGCCCTGATCACAAGCCCTACATCTAATGCGTCAAATATATATTGTTCAGCTTTTTTCTGAACTTTTCCCATCAAGGGGGCACTGCTACTTTTGCTAATGCTAACAGCACCAACCTAAATGTTCAGAATCTAATCTAATATCAATGTATTTATGTTCTTTTAGTAGACTATTACCATTTGGTTTACTGTCATTTAGAGATAATTACAAAATAATAAATTGTAGGTATAAAAGCGATAAAATGTACATATTTCACTTATAACCAGCATGGAAGCTCATTCAAAGTATTCACGTCCACATCAACACCTGCCTGTCCTTTTTCTACCTGCTATAAAAGCTTTACATTCTATTAGACGGTCGTTCTTCATAATCATGAAACGTTCAGATGACAGTGCAGAGAAAACGCTGCTGAATTACTTATGGTATAAGACAAGTGTCACCCTTGCTGGCTGCCTGTTATACAGACATGCAATAAACAGTGTGTTGGCTCAGCAGACCTCTAATTATCCACCATTTATTTAAATGGGGTATGACACCAAAGTATCAACATCTGCAAGATACAAAAGACCAAAACACCAGGTCTTTGTATGTATGCAAACAAGAGAAAGAGTAACGGTATCATTCAGTTCTCTTTTTATACATGTTTCATTGTATAATATAACAAAAATCATTAATATAGTCGAACCACGTTATCTTACTCAGATTTAAATATACAGCAGGAAAAGCATGCATGTGGGCAACATAAAAAATATACATATTGTTAACAAAAATTATTAACACCAGGAATGATTTTTTTTGATTTATGGAAATAATTAATAAAAGTTAAACATAGAATCATCACTTATGCATTAACAAGAACAGAAATAAACATTTATTAGTTACTTAAATCCACTGAAATAACAATGTGTTGGTTGCTATGGGCTACTGCACGTTTTTGCACTTTATAGTGTCTTACTGATCAAGCCAGTGTGGGTTGCTGAGAAGAACATATGACATTCTCTCTGTAAAGAGAATACTTGCAGCCATGTCTTAAGGTTTTTAAAACACTACTGTAAATGCTGAAAATATAAGCATATTTCAGCCTTGATGTACTTGTTTTGTACTTGAAGGGGAATTATAATGGTTCTGTGTACATTTTACTTCATTTGAGTTATATATTTTGAACTATTTTATATCTTTTTTAATATATGTTTTGCAAATAAACACAAACATGTATGGCAAAAGATTCCTGGAGCACCATGAGTTATCTGAAGAGACACCACAGCAGAAGAAGCCTGCCTTGAAGCTTGATTTGTATGACTGAAACTTAGTGGCTAATCATCCTGCCATCTTGTGCTATTGAACTTTGTAAACAAGAGACTTTTACAACAGGTAGTATGGAGACAGAAATACATTTTAAGAGGAGCATTAAGCGCCATATACTGACTGGATAATAGAATGTAACATTCACCAACCCAAAATAATTTTTGTTACTACTGAGCCATAATAAACAAAGAAAGAAAATATATAGAAATCAATATCTATTATAAATATAAATATATATAAATTTTATAATTTATATATATTTACCATTCTTTATTTAACAAAGCATCAATTAAAACATTTTTCTTTCTGTATATTCTCAAAATGTTTTTAAAAATGTAATAATCAAAAATGATAATTGGTGTCATAAACATCGCGATGACGCAATCTGCTGACAAATCAGGAAGGCCAGTCCAACCAAAAAAAAATACATGTATTTGCAGTTTGCACTTAAAAAACAGCATGCCTTAAGGAAAATGTGAAGCAAACATATTTTATAAAACGATGTCCAATCAACAACCCCCTTTCATTGTTCTGACTGCTGTAATCGAATGCAGGCTAAGCTCTGATTTGCTGTTACGTGTTACTGCACATCCTTATTACGCTTTGCACTGCGTTACTAAATAAGTCCAATACGTTTGTATTTGCATTGTCCATTTTCATTTCTTTTACTGCCCAATGCCTTGGAATGCTTTCATTGCTGTAAGTAATTTGTGCGGTAAGATATGAGTCTAGGAAAAGAATATATGTATTTTACAAGACATAAAACAGATTACTGTATGCAAAGGAAGACGTTGGTATAGTTAGTGAATTAACCTACGTACAGCATTTCAGCAGGAAAATACTTATAAAGTAGCAAGTGACTGATCATTTGCTCCTGAAAATGTCAGCGCATTTATAAAGCGGATTTACAGGTCAGATTCACCCCCTACTCTTTCCCAATCGAGAGATTTCCCTGTTGTATGACCAACATCTAGGCTTCCAAATCTTCCTTGGTAAATACAAGTCTTAGTGACATTCATCATATTTATAATATTGCCAATTTGACATTTGCTGGAATAGATTGCCTTTGAACGTTCTATTTTTCAACTATGAATTGTTGATTTTATTATTGATTAACTATTGATTCCATGGGACGCCAACCTTATTCATTCCTATTCACAAGTAAGCATGCATTTATTGCACCAAAAAAATCATGTCTTTAGCCCAAAATACTTGTTTACAAATGCCGCCACAACTCCCATGAACAACAGAGGTGAATGTCAGTAGATGATGTGAATGCTCAAATGTGTTTTAATTTTTATATAATGGCATCATGAATTGACGTGTATGGTTAAGAGCAACTAAGCAATGTCAACCAAGTTAAACAGCTCAAAGCTAGGGTGGCCATCAGCTGTATGAACATCAGCTATAAGGATAAATCAAATGACCTTTCTAAACACTATAAGTACTGAAGATTATGGAATAGAAGTTCTGACATGCTTCCACTAAATATATTTCACTCTCTTAAAAAATGGACACATAGCATATAGCATGTTTCTTAAAACAGATAAACCCCCAGATTAGAAAGGTGTGAATTTAAGGAGCTCCTATCCTTTCTGTGCCCTTGAAAATGCACAATGTCCTTTCATAAGGATGTAATGTGACAAAAACTCCTGAGGACCAAAATAAAATATGTTTATAGAGTACTCACACACATAAGCACAGCTAAATTAATAACAGTAGTAGTAGTAATAATAATAATATAGATAATAAATCAAAAATAAATCTGGGACCTTGTCATCCACCAACAAGCAAAGGAACAATGAAAACATTTAACCAACACTAGACCCACACTAGCTTCATCTATTTTGAAAATGAAGTCAAGATCAAGGGCATAATCTCCCTAAGTTGTCAACTGCTTTAAAAACTGAGATTTTATGCTCGTCCCTTTTCCAGTTTCATAATGAGAACTGTTTCTTGCGAGTACCTTTCACCCCATTAACATTTTGTCATGTGGCGTCTGAGATACAGACTCACTATACCCTCCAAAGAGAATTACATAGAGAAAATAGAAGTAGATAAGCTGTCTATATAGTAAATAAGGATTATTGTTTATTATTTCCGCAACTGTAACATAATGCACTACTCCTCCGCTGACACCTTAGGGTGCATGTCTATCACCCCTTAGTACTACAGCGCCATCAAGCCAGTTTTTCTTTGGTCGATAAATCTACAGTTTCTCATCCAGGCAATGTGAAATCATATTTCGGATGTTCGTCTTTCTGCCAAATAACAGATCCTACGCGCAACTGAAATCCATACCAAGGTCATATATGACATACCACCATAAACGCTCATCGTTGGGTTTGATAACACCCTGTGAAATTGTAGGCACACAGCAGCAAAATAAAAAAAAAAGAAAATAGCCGTCAGCTTTCCTAGGCGCTCAGTCTTAGCAATATTTATAGCATTGTCCTCTACTAGCCATCCATATTTCCAACCTCCCCAATCTCCTCGCCAGCAATAAGCGCATAGCCAGAGACATCACCTTGGTAGCAGGGAAAGGGTATCGGTCATTTACACCATGAACAACCAAAAAAGAACTAAGTTGCGTTCCACTTACCTAAAAGCATTCTTGATTACGTCTTCTTGTTGTGTCTTTCCCCCGAAATCGCTATCAGATTTTGTCGAGCGGCTGCATTCGCACACAGATCCTTCTGGCTGCCCCTGATAGAGAGGTGACTGGCCTCCAATTCGTTCACCTTCCCAAATGATACACTTATACCTCAATTAAAAGCTTAATGCTCCACTGATCTCTGCCCGGAGGAGGTAAACAAGCGGCACTCTCTCTCCACAGCTACTGGCCCTAGCTCTAACCCAATCATCAAGCACAGATGGAGAAATTACCCAGTGTTGCCTCTCCCAGCTGAGAGCTCTGCAAACCAAAAGATGCTGTATTAACATACAAATCGGATGGGAGGTCTGAGGAGGGGTGGGGGTGCAGAGGCAGAGTGAGAGAAGTCAGAATGTACTTCTTCTGTCCTCTCACATTGAGGGCATGCCAGTTCTCGTATACACATACCCTGGCACACTTCAGCAGCCGGGTTACCACTGTGGAATGTGCTGCTCTGTGGCCTTATTGATGTCTGGGGGAGGAATGACACAAAGGTGAGACTGTATCAATGTATAAGCTAACCCATGCACATCTGATTGTAAGCTCTTCAGATCAGGCGCTGCTTGTTGACAGGTCTGCTTCCTTGTGCCTGACTTATTCCTTTTTGTGTTGTCTTCCTGTTTGCCTTTTGTGCAGTACAAAGCATACCCATCATGTATTGAATGTGGAGCAAGCAGAGAGTTAAAAGGAAGGAGAAGTGAACAAAGTGTGTTACAAGCAAAGGCTGTTTGAAGTCTGATAAGATCCAATTATCCCAGTCAGCATAGCTTTTCACTATCAGTTGGGAAAGCTCCTGCTTTATCTGATTATCATCCTTCAGGAAAATGTGGTATATAGATTAGCTTTGACAAATTGTTCATATTCCGGGCTCTGCCACCCTTCCCGGAGACTTGGTTTTGTATCCTACTACTCACTCTGTCAAATGTGGTGAAGTAACACCACTGTTTTCATCTGAAATTGTAATGTTTTGTCAATTATGTTTATGTTAATTTACCTTTAAATTTATTTTTATATTGATAATTGGTTTTGTATCCTACTACTCACTCTGTCTCTCTGTTGGTTAGCTGTCATTAGTAGCCTGTACTGTGTATTGCTGTCTAACAGTCTTCTGTAATTACAACAACAAAGGCACAAATGAGTCGTCAGCAGCTAACACAAAAGGGGTTCATT